AGAAAGGCAAATACTATATGATTTCACTCATATGTGGAATTTCAGAAACAAAACAGATGAACACATGGAAATCAGGGGGAAGAAGAGAGAGGGAAACAAACCAAAAGAGACTCTTAACAATAGAGAACAAACTGAGGGTTGATAGAGGGAGCTGGGTAGGGGATAGGCTAGATGGGTGATGGGTATTAGGAGGGCACTTGTAATGAGCACTGGGTGTTGTATGTGAGTAATAAATCACACTGAGTTCTACTCCTGAAACCAATATTGCATTGTACGTTAACTAAAATTTAAATAAGTAAATAATTAAATAAATAAGGACTCACCAAGAAGTCTATTACTCCAAGTTCACTGCCTTTCTATTAGATTTTGTGATCTAGAAAATGCAGGGGACAGGCCAGATACATTTTTTTTTAATCTTTATTTATTTTTGAGAGACAGACAGACAGACAGCAAGCATGGGAGGGACACAAAGAGAGGGAGACACAGAATCTGAAGCAGGCTCCAGGCTCTGAGCTGTTGGCACAGAGCCCGACGTGGGGCTCGAACTCACGCACCATAAGATCACGACCAGAGCCAAAGTCAGACGCCCAACCAACTAAGCCACCGAGGCGCCCCAGGCCAGATACATTTTTTTAATAAGTTCTCTAATATCCTCATGGACAAGACAGAAAACACAAGTTTCAAACTAACACAATAAAGTGATTCTTAATATATCCTGAAGGGCTCAAATCTCAGCCTGTCCTCCTCCATTATTTTTTATCAAGACCTTAATGAAAACATACATAAACATATTTATCAAATTTTAGGTTAACACAATGCTGACAAGGCTATCAAATATTTGGGAAAGAACAAGGAAGATCATAGAAGATCCTGACAGGCCAGAAAAATAGGCAACAGACTCCTACATGAAGTTTAAATATAAGCAGAGTGAGGTCTTGAAGGAGGTCTATACAACACATGAAATAGGGAGAAAAGTTTAAAAAGAATGAGAGGGTTTGGGCTGACATTAAGGTGGCTGTGTTCCTTACAGAACTAGGGACCCAACTGACAAAGAGCTCAGAGGCTTGGCATGCATGTAGGGCCCAGATGAAGGAGCTGAAGGTGCAGAGAGGACAGCAGGGTATGTCCCAAACTTTTCATCCCATGGCAGGTGCCATGCTCCAAGCAAAGTGCGGACAACCTGGAGGGATGTGATGAGGGCAGGTATCCAGAGCAGAGGGGAAGAACCGAGACTGGGACAGGTACAGGGGGGCGTGGGTAAAGAATAAGAACCCACAACAGAGGCCCCTGGGACAGCAGAAAGAGAGCCAGGAAATAGCTGTACTAAGAGAGCAGAGTGGGGATCAAGAAGACATCTTGAGACCTTGCCCCTAAATGCTTGCTCACCATCTGGATGCCAGCTGGATGCAATTACAGCTAGGTGGCTATGGATTTCAGAGGAGGGTTTCTCTGGATATGCACCTGGGTCCCCTCTACAGTGTCTGTGCTATGCTCTTGGCTGCCCACTCTGGCATCTATCTGTCCTGTTGAGGAATGCTGACTCCTGGACACCCAGCCTCCAGCAAACCCAACTTCCACTCAGGTTCCCTAATTCAGCCCAGTTTCATCTCATGGAGAACCCAAACAGAAGTTGTCTCTGTGGGGACTGACAGCCATCTTTTTACTGCCCCTCAGGCCAGGGATGCAGGCCTCCTAGAATTTAGGCTTCTAAGTAAAATGTCCAATTCTCTTTTTAGACAAGGCCTGTGGCCAGCTTGGCTGGTACGGTTCTGCCAGATCAGACCTCTGCAAACCCAAGCAGGCAAGCCCAGCAGTTAGGCACTACCTCAGGGCCACCGTGGCCAAAGGCTCCTCTCACTACTCAAGGACCATATACCAGTCAGCCTCAGTAGGACAAGGCATCACAATAGCCAATGTCCCTCTATCTCCCAGGCTTTTATCCTAAATCTCTTCACATGTACAGGGTTGCTCTTCCAAGAGATCCTCCAGGGCCCCCTCTCCCTCCACTGACTGCTATTCCTCCTGGGTCCTGATCCTGTTCGAAAGCACCACTATCCAGCCACTTTCTCATCCTCCTTTCTTGCTAGTGCACTGCATCTGTCACTAAAACCTGCTGGGTCATCCTGGCCTTTATCAAGTTTGCTCCCCATGCCCTGCACACATCACAACCTCTTCCCCAGGCCCTCCCTCCAGTCAGTCCATCTTTTGCAGTTATACCAAAGGACCTTTTAAAATATAACTCTGTCCAGGTTGCTATCTGTTAACCAGTGAAAAGGCCAGAAGAGACCTGGCTCCACCTGATTCCAGCCTGTCTGTTTACCTCCTGTACTAGAGCATACCTCCTATTGCTCGCTCCATAGCAACCAGCATCTTGCATGTCGGAAGGGCCAGGCAAAGTCAGGGCCCAGGCCACGCACAGGCAAACCCCGACCACTGTCAGGTATGTACTCAGGCCCCTCACACTTCTTATGAATGCCAAAACCTGTTCCAACAAGTGTCACACAGGCCAGGAGCATGACCATGACATTGCTACTTTCTCAGCACTGACCTTGGGCTTGATAAATGCTGCTAAATGGATGGATTAACAAAGGAAGCACCACTGCTACCTTCCCTTCACACCTGGCAGGGCTCCAATGCCTGGAAATGGCTGCAGTTCCCCAGAGCTCAGGAGAGCATCAGTGGCATTGCTTTGGCTTTAAAGCCTCCCCTTAGGCCTCTCACCAACCAAAGTGGCTCTACAAGGCAGACCCTCTAAGGTCTCCTGTGCACCCACCAAGGCTGTGGCCATTCTTGGTGTAGAAGCAGGTGCTGTTGATGAGGTTGACACAGCAGCCAATCACGTCTCCTGTGGTGAATGTGGGACCGTAGGGCTGGCCAGTCCCAGAGGAGCAGAACGAATGCCCATCATCGCCGTGGTAACCATAGGAATGTTTATCCCAACCTGTTGGGGAAGAGAATAGCAACAGCTGAGTGGAGGTGTCTGAGACAGCCACAGAAGCCTGCCTGGGTCTGAGCCCTTCTCCCCAGCCTGCCAACACCTCAGTCAGTACTCTTGGACTCTCAGAGCTGGCTGTGGACAGGTTCTGGCTACACCAAAGGAGCAGTGACTCCAGCAGGTCACCACCCCTGAGTAGCTGAAACAGTCAAGGGGACCAACCTGTGGTTAACAAGAACCAAAACCATGACTAACCTGGAAAAGACTTACCAGAAGGCCATGCACGCAGCAAGGAAGCGGTCAGAGAAAGTCTCATGATGGAGAGGGGGCTTCAACTGACCTTTCAGAGTTTTTTTTTTTGCTTTTAATGTTTTTAGTTTTATTTTTTAAAGTAGACTTCACACCCAGGGAAGACCCCAATGCAGGGTTTGAACTCACAATCCTGAGATCAAGATCTGAGCTGAGACAGGATGCTTGAGTGGCTCAGTCAGTTAAGCGACCATCTCTTGACTTTGGCTGAGGTCATGATCTCATGGTTCGTGAGCTGGAGGCCCACATTGGCCTCTGTGCTGACAGTGCAGAACCTGCTTGGGATTCTCTGTCTCCCCCTGTCTCTCTGCTCCTCCCCTGCCCGCTCTCTAGCTCTCTCTCAAATATAAGTAAATAAACACTTTTTTAAAATTAAAAAAAAAAAAAAGATCTAAGCTGAGATCAGGATTCAGACACTTAACCAACTGAGCCACCCAGGGGCCCATGATTTATACACTTTAGATGGGTGGTTTTTACGGCATAAAATCTTATCTCAATAAAGCTATTAAGCACACACACACATATGTATTTGACTTTGTATATATTCACCTGGTGTCCTGAAACCTTGTAAAACTCACCAATTAGTTCTAGTAGCTTTTATGAAGATTCTTTGGGATTTCTAAACATACTGTCTGAGAAATAAAAACAATTGTATTTTTGCTTTCTACTCTGCATGTCTTTTTATTTCTTTTTCCTGCCTGAATAGAAATAGAGCAAAAGTGACACCTCTGAAGTGCACCACACTTTGGTACAGGGAAAAGAGTGAAAAAGGTCATTCCAGGAAGAAGTACAGTAAAGTCATGAGCACAGGTGGGACCAGAGGGTGTGAGCTACAGAGGGACCTGCCTGCCTGCCTGCTTGGCTAAGGAATAGGAGTAGAGCTCACAGAGCCATGGCAAGCCAGGACCCACACAGGGTAGGCAAGCCTGACTGGCTGACAAGCAGGTCTGCTCCCTAAAGTAGCCGTTCCAAATAGCTTTCCTAGCCTCTGCTGCCTTCTTGGGGTCTGAGCAGCATGCCCATGTCAACATACTTAAGCACATCCTTCCCTTCCCGCCACCCCCAAGTGGCATGGGTAGATGTTCTCCTCTGGTAGGGAAGCTCTCTCCAGAGGGGCAGAGTGCTTAAGTATCTGAGTACCTCACAAAGAAAGGCAGGTTTCAAACATTCTCAGTGTGTTTAAGTATGTGTGTGGTGAGGAAAGGCGGGTAGGGAGAGGGTAGGGAGGTATGAGCAGGCTGTAAGCAAAGGTATGTGGGTGAAAACGGATGGATGACAGGGCCAGTGGTTAGCATGGGAGATACAGGACAAGGCTGGAGAGGTAGAACTAACCAGACTCTGGAACCCAAACTCTGCCCTGCATTTGGACTGGTGAGCTCAAGGGCAAGGTGTCCTTCATAATCACAGTATCCATCCCAAGCCTTGTATACCCTGAGCTTTCATGTCTTTTCAGCCAGGAACCCTGGTTCCTGGTTAAATGAAGCTTCCCCAGAACCATAGTGGGCAACAGGCCAAAGCTGAATGGCTCTCACTAGCGGGTACAGGACCTAGAGACCTGCTGCTCCCCTCCTAATAGCTTTCCACCAATCAGAAGGAAACTATTGTGAGAACTGCCCAGAGCTGGCTTTAGAAAGCCCAAGGCCTGGAGCCAGGCTCTGTTCTCACCTTTCCCATTCTCCAGAGACACTGGGACTGCCTGGCTCAGGGGATAAGGTGCTGCTCTGGGCACCAACCCAACTTCTAAGCTCCTTAACCCCAAGAGTGGGTGGGGCCTTTCTACTGCTGGTGAGTACACAGATCATTTGGCCTCAGGGAAGCAGCTCTCCTCGGGCACAGGGATGCCCACTGCTGCCCTGAGAGGTAGGATGATGAAGCTACAATAGGCAATGCCTCTCCTCAGGCTTCAACACAGGAGGCTCTATGGCTCCTGGCAGCAGCAGCTGCAGTAGCAGCCGCTCCTCTGGGCCACAGAAGGCTACAAATGAAGGGGTGTCAGCTGAACAGCAGTGAGGACCAAAGTGACAATCATCCCTCTAGGTCTGGCTCAGATTGTACTTGGTGACCCTGGGCATGCCCACCAGCTTCCCCTGCCTCAGGATCCACATCCACATGCCACACCAATCACAGTAGGCCTCCCCTGGCTCCTCCTAGATCCTCCAGACGGAGCACAAGGGCTTCCCACATGCAACACAGTCACTGACCACAACATGACAACCTGTTAAGAGAGCAGCACAGCAATAACCCTGTGTGTGTGGCACAACAGTTACTGCCACTTCCACCTCATCAAGAGACTGGGGGCCTTGGTCACCAGCCCGCAAAGCTGAGAAATGGTTGAAATGGGATTTGACCAAATCTTCAGATTCCAAAACCCACATGTGTCTTTCCTGTCATGTGTCTTGTCTCATTTGAGGTGGTAACCACTCAGGCAGTAAAACTGTCCCCAAGCCCCTATCCCATCACCAGAAGACAGTGGTCAGATGCACTGGTTTTAAGGAGCTGTGGACCTGGGATTTCTGACTTGCAGTGAATCAGGCCAGAAATGGGGCAAGGCCCAGACCCCAGCCCTAGAGGAAGACAAAGGTACTGGTGCCTCCTGTCTGAAGGCTACAGCTGGCAGTCTCTGCTCTCCAGGGAGCCCCCACCTTCCCACCTCACCAGGCAGCCACAGCCAGCTGACCAGAACACACACTTCCACCCAGTGCCCACTGAAGAAAGGCTTCCTAAGCACAAAGTCCCGCTTCTCACATATAAAGAACATACATATGATCCAGCCAAAGATAGCAGCACTTGACTTTAGGCCACAGGCCTGAATTCTCAGCATGGAACCCCCCAGGATGGGCTGCTCTGCTATAGAGCCCTACAGCTACTAGAGACCAAACTTTGCTCCAGGGGCCTGGGATGCCAGGGGCAGAGGTGTGGCTCTCCTCAATGCTGCTTGAGCAGAAAAAATTTCCCTAAAGACAAGCCTACCACTCACCACCTCCTGAGGCCATGTGGCTGTGGGAGAACACTGCCCAGGAAAGCCACTGCCCATTCTAGCCCTCCCCAAAGAATCCTTAGGGAGAGCTGCTTGCTGTCCTATGCGCCCTCTCAGAACCATGCCCACAGCTGCTCATGCCCACTGGGTCCTCCCTTTGTGCCAGTGCATCATGATCCAACCCCGACGCTTGCTCCTTTAAGTTTTCCATAACATTGTTTGGTTCCCCCCTCCCCCTAGCCCTGGCACACTGCTCACATCCCTGATCAATCCTGAATCCTACTGAACCTTTCCAGTCACCAGTAGTTACTTGTCCTGGGACTGTCCCTGTCTATCTTCCTTGGCCAAGACAGGAGTTCCCTGACGCAGGGTCTACATGATCTCATCACAAGTTCCTCCAGTGCCCAGGATGTCAGGAGTCTGAGAGGTGGTACACATGCATATACACATGTCTGTGTGTTTGTGTGTAGTGACCAGTCCTAGCCCATTTCTCTCTCACACAAGGATGACCGACCCTGCATGACAGATTTTGTATACAGATTTTACTGGCTGGAAAGTACAAGACTTGAACTAGAAAATTTTCCTTGTTTTAGCTTTCTCAGATTAAAGCGGTAGTTACTCTAACAATTTTAATAAAAATGTAGCCATGTGATCCATCAAAAATAGTGAAATTGCCCAAAAGAACCAGTTCCTACTTAAGTCAATGACTCAAGGATATCTGGAAGCTATTTTTGTTGCCATGTATAGGAGCTCAATAACTGTCACCAAAACAACAGAGGTTTACATTTCCAAAGACCTAATACAGAAATTTAAGTATTTTGAATACTTTTCTTCAAAAATAAACTATGTAGGGGCGCCTGGATGGCGCAGTCGGTTAAGCGTCCGACTTCGGCCAGGTCACGATCTCATGGTCCATGAGTTCGAGCCCCGCGTCGGGCTCTGGGCTGATGGCTCAGAGCCTGGAGCCTGTTTCCGATTCTGTGTCTCCCTCTCTCTCTGCCCCTCCCCCGTTCATGCTCTGTCTCTCTCTGTCCCAAAAATAAATAAAAAACGTTGAAAAAAATTTAAAAAAAAATAAAACAAAATAAGAAAAAAGAACTTGAGGGGTAAAGTGAATGAGCTCAGCATGTCTGAAAAACGGGAAAAGGCAGCCAGTTGGGCTGGAGCGGAGAGAGATTTAAGAAGACTGGTGGCAGAGCTGACAGGACTCCCTGGATGTGTGTGCTGCTGGTCTGAAAGTGAACAAGGATGCCTCCCAGGTTTCTGTCCTGGACAAAAGGGTGAATGGTAGTACCACCTACTAACAGAAGGAGCAGGCCTTTTGGACATGTTAAGTTTGAGTAGATGGGTGGCTATACAAGGCCAGTGAAATGACTGTGGCTTATCCCAGACACTCAAAATTGTGATGGGGAACACTCATGAAACAAACAGTAGCATAAACAGAAAATTTTAAATGAAGTCAATGGAGGATTTTCCTACTGTGTTGTCTTGATACAATGGCTTCCTGTTTTTCCTTTTGGTGAAAAATTCAGACCAAAGACTAGAAAGGGCAGAGCAAACACAGAGCAAGGCACTAGATGCTCAAAATAGAAGAAGAGATATTAAAGGGCACGAAGTTACTCTAAACGGATTAAGTTACCCCGCTCTCAATGAAACTTCTCCCCAGGCCTTGAGAAGCTGTACAGCAGAAAGGAGCAGGTCCTTTTCCTGCCATTCTTGA